CACACACACACACACACACACACACACACACACATACTACTGGCTTCTTATATATGATGAAGACAGATGCATCTTTATCATCATCATCATCATCATCATCATCATCCTCCTAAAGAACAACTGGACTAGATTTAGTAACCAGTTTAATAAGATAAAATCCACCAATCTAAATGTCTGTTATAGAATTTTACAGGAGTAAAAGCAATCATGCTTTGTTCTTTTTTGTACCTCAGTTATTACAGAGACACACCCTAGGAGTCTTTTAATTTGCACTTAAGTGTTTTCAGAAGTTTTAGAATCAGAAGTAAGAGTGTTTGCTTTATGGACAACCTGCTTTATCCAATTCTGGGAATTAACTCAAATGCAATCTTTAGATTGATAAAATGACATATGATGTTCCTCTTGATAGCAAGTGAATTTTTCTACTGATTTTCCATTAATTACATTTAACTGTATACATCAGGTTCCTCTATTCACTTTTTTCAAAAGATAGTTATATTTTATCCATACTTATTTGTCTCTGTTATGTTTTGCGATTGACTATACTCTTCATTTTTGTTATAACTGTGGTCAAAACAGTAAATAAATTGATTGATTGCACCCACCAAGACAATTGTTTTGTCAATGTATACCCATATAATAATTTTGTGGCGAGGTGCACGACCTTGCTAAAAATTCCAAATGTGCCTTTGTCCCCAAAAAATCATGATCTTCATTCATTGAAGAATAATCATTGAGATTTAATGCCATGTATCATTATCTCTAGAAATCATGAAACAAGACTCTTGTGATAATGTTTTATACAAGAAAAGAAGTAAATCTTAATAACTTTGTAGAGGTTGACTTTTATGTATAGAATATTGATCAAGTAATTGCAATAATAATCTATGTTTAATTACAATAATCCAAAATTTCACAGCTTTACCTGCTTCTACATCACTGAAGATGGATTTGAGTGCTGGGAAGTAAGTGCTTTGCACCTTATCTAGTAGCTCTAACATAGTCAAAATTCTTCTGGCTTTTAGTTGGCTATAAATACACTGTAAATCCTCATATCTGTAACATATAATGAAGAAGGTATGAGAAAATTTATTCCACCAATTAAATCACATTCTCTCTTGCAGCAAACAGGCTTATAACCTTCCTAGGACAAATGAATGTAACAAAGAAATGTTATTCTTTGTGTCAGCCAGAAAGTAAGAAACAGTACAACTTAGTTTTTCTTTTTAAATGGATACTTCTCAGCTTTTTCCTCCAGATCAGCTAGGGCAAATAACCTACCACAACTGGCAGCCACAAAGATCTAGCTCTTCCTACTCTATTTAGATTTCATTATAGAATGAGTTAAACAATATATAGTACCTATTTTTCCAAAAATCCAACTCCACCATTGGATGGGGATCTTTGCCTTGCAAAAGCAGTTCTGAAGATTGTCTCTTAAGAACATTCTGGATCTGATGGGTCCATTCAATAACAGAAGACTCGATTGCATGAATAATAGACTTATCTACCAGTTCAGTACTGCAAAAAACAAAAGTATCAACAGATCAGCCTTATTTGTCTTTTGAAAGTGGTTCTCTAGAAACCAAATATATAAGGCAAAAACATAAATTCTCACTTTCAATGAAATAATAGGAAATTTGTCACAAAACAAATTTATTATTACAGGCTCACATTATTTGCACATGTTTACATTTCTATGCTTCTGTTCCTACTCATTCAACAATTTATAGCTTAAACATAAACAGTTTTCAATTCATGCAGTATCTTGAAAATGACCACTGAATCCAATAGCATTGTAATAAAGCATTACAACTTACTTTTTCTCATTGTCAGAGTTAATGCATCTCTCCCTCTCAGGCTCAATAGGTAGAGATAGCAATGTTTTTCCTCTAATTTGGCCAACCATCACAAAAACACTCCTTTTCAGACAGCAGACATGATTAATAATATCTTGGGATACTACATTGGGCCAACTGTGATGGTTTCTCTGGTTCACCAAGAGAGGCATCATTACCTGGAAGCATTCAAATATGCCGTTATAAAACTGATATAGGAGAAGCAACAGAAAATATTGCATCAAATCTTCTGGTTTCCTGATTTTCTTACATCTAGCAAAAGAACCAAATAACCATTTTATAGTCTTGAGAGTTTTCTGCCTTCCTGAGTTTCCAGTCAGAACAGACATATGGAAATAGCTACAAGCAAATAATCTCCATGAAACATTGCATTAAAAAGGCATTAATCTATTAACTCCAAGAAACTAGATATTCCTCTTTGACCACCTTGGATGAAAAATGTGGAAATTCAAACCAAATATGTCTAGGAGATCCTCAAGTGATCAAGAGAATTTGAGTTTGCCTTCAGTTCTGTAGTAAAAATGTCTATTTAAAAGATCTACATTTGAAAAAAAATTCCCACCTTTTTTTTTTTTTGCTTATATTTTGGTTACTTTCAAGGTACAGAGTCTGGGCCTACTGCCAATTCTATTTTTAATACAGGGTACATTTTTTAACTAGTAATGCTTGAAACTGTCTTGTAATTTTCAGAATAAAAAGAGAAATGAAATCATTGAGCCTTCCCTTTTGGCAAATCTTCAAGTTGTTTGATTATTATTATTATTATTACTTATGTATACTTTTTAGGGGATTTTTAAAAAGTTATTTCTTTGTTCCTTTATTTTTATGCACATACTTTTTTTTTAAATATAGGTTCCACATATACCTATAGAGTGCTATTTGAATGCTAAATTCAATCTTTATGAAGGCTTTACATTTATGAGCAATGCTAGAAAATATTTTAAATATTTAAATATAGAAAACATTATTATTTGTCATTTTTCAAATGGCATATGCCATAAAATCAATTGGTATTTGTATTAATAAGTGGGCCAAAATAAAACAGACTAAGTTAGTCTTAATGTAAAAGCCAGTGATCGGATTCAACCAATTCACACCACTTCAGCTGAACCAGTTGTTAAATTGCTGGCTGGCCCCACCCCACCACTTCCAGGAGTCTCCCCGTGGCCGATTTTTGCTCCTAGGGGGTTGCAGGAAGGCCTACTAGGCCCAAAATGGGGCATGGGGGGGTGCATCGCAGCCCCATTGTGGCCCATTTTTGCTCCCAGTGGGGTGCAGGAGGCCAAGTGCTGCCTGTCACACACCCTGCCGACGCCCACTATGGCCACACCCACCCATCCGGTCATCAGGGCAGAGAACCGGTTGTTAAATTATTGGAATCACACCACTGGTAAAAGGGTTATGTGAATCCAAAAAAAAACAAAATATAAACTTACCGGTAGCTTATTTATAATAATTAAGGGCAGACTTTGCTTATCTATATAAAACTGATTTAATGGAAGAGGATAACTTTTTATTAATGAAGGATTGGATGGGACAGTTTATCTCACAGATACTTAACCAAAGCTAAAGGCATCGCCATTTTAATTTGTAAAGGATTTCCAATTAATGTACAAATTGTTCTAAATGAGCATTATTTAATTTAAGATTTACATAGAAGAACTGAATTTACTCGACATCTAGCGTTTGATGTATCCAACCAAAACAAAATACATATTCTACTGTATATAGGTGTGCATGAGAATTTTTTAAGCTTGATCAGTTTTAATATTATAGACCTTGTATTACCAAATTCAAAAGTGTAATATTGATCTTTGTTATACTGTATATCTGATTATGAGGCAATTACTTTGAATGTGTGTTTCAGAAATTGGCTAAGGTATTAAGAAATTGGAATTTTAATGTTGCCTTATTGAAGGATAAAGAATTTGTTCTCCCAGCTGCTCAGAAAGTTAACAAACCATTCTACCAAATAGGTGTGAACCAGATGAATCCCACTACTGTGTATATCTGGAAAATACTTTCAGGAAATAAATTCTTTGTTTAGAATATTTCTGTGAGGTTCTTCAATTCTGAGAATATCTTTACAGAAAATGTAAATATCAATTAATGAGGGAGGATTCAGTTCTTTGAACCTGGAAGATTATCATTGTTACCTATTGTCAAGTATTAAATACTAAAGCTGAAAATCCACCTGCTCCCAAAATATTAGGTCATGGTTTAATTTTGCTCTATTCACATGAATATATGGAAATATATAATTCCAATATCTGCTGTCCTTCATCCATACAGAAGACACAGTGAAGTGTAAACATAAAGCGGAGGAAATAAAATATATTGTAAAGATAACATATAGACATATGAGGTAAACAGAGTAATAATACATAGGAAAGCTGGGGAATTTAAAGGAATTGTGTGGTGACGTGTATTCAGAAACATTTACCATTGTTATTACACTATGATAAATCACATAGATCTACAGCAATGAAATGGCAAACTATCAGACCAAGTAGAACTATGGGGCCATGATGACATACTTCGGAATGAGTGAGAGTACTTGGTAGCAGTTGGTCAGCAACTCATTAAAACAGCTGTGTTTCTTCCCAGGATCACACAGCTCCTCACTGCAGCTCTAGCGCACGGGTATCAAACTTGCGATGACACATTGTCATCACATGACGTATCACAACATTTTCCCCCTTCACTAAAATGGGGTGGGTGTGGCCAGTATGTGATGCATCCGGCCCGTGGGCTGAGAATTTGACACCGCTGTTCTAGTGCAATCCTTTGAAAAGAAGTGATTAATTTGGCAGGCATTTCTGTCTATGTGCGAGTCATGCACATTCCAGTCCCTTTTTCTCATTCCAAATCTAAAGAGCTGCAGGCTATACAGTGCAAATCCCACAAAGACTTAAGAATGATCACACAGGCCAAGAAAACTAAAACAAGTAAAACTAAACCGTGATCAATGGCTCTTAGCCTTCTTGTATTCTGCTTCTCTAACCAATCAGTGTAATCCATCTGAGATACAATCAATTAATGGTAAAAGAACTTTTAATAAGTTCCTTACATATGCATATTATTAAGGAAGGTAACTGATTCACATATCATTTGAATGCATATTCTTGGTTCTCAATTATTTCATGTATCCCAATCAAAATTGTGATGCCTAAACTTCTTAGGCTAAGACATCAAATGTGAACAGTAAGCCTTGAAAAGCCTTGCAGCACACTAACATTTACTGTTATCATATTAGATATACAACAGGAGGCCTAATAAAGTTAATTTGTCATTAGAAAATGAAATAGGGAAACCGTGAAACACATTGTCACCTTGCATTAAGGCAGAGTGTAATCATTCACTTGAATGAAAGTACACATTATATCTATCACAGAGATGCCCATCAGTCAACGTCTTTCTTTCACAAATAATCAGCATGTATTAACCATCTCTGCTGTGCTCCAGGTTAATGGCTCTAAAAAGAAGCAGAGGAGGAGGAGGAGGAGGAGGAGGAGGAGGAGGAGGAGGAGGAGGAGGAGGAGAAGAAGAAGAAGAAGAAGAAGAAGAAGAAGAAGAAGAAGAAGAAG